GGGCGCGGCGCGGGGCTGCGGCAGCCGGGGAGCCGGGAGCATCCACGGGCGATCGGCTGCGGTGGCCACGGCGTTCGCCCCGCGCGGGGCAAAGGGGCGCCGGGCTCCCACCGGCCCGACAGCCTCTGGCGCCTCTGAGTCACCGTTTCCCTCTCACGGTGCTGGGAGGGGTTGGAATGTACTGGGACCCGCGGGATTGGCACCGGCACAGGCTGGGACCCATGGGCTTGGCACTGGGACATGCTGGGACCCACGGTCCCAGCGCTGGGACACGCTGGGATCCACAGTCCCAGCACTGGGACGTGCTGAATTCCACAGCCCCAGCACTGGGACTTAACTGGGACCCATGGCTGTTACGCTGGGGCTTACTGGGGCCGTAGTCCCTGGCACTGGGACCCGTGGGCTTGGCACTGGGACATGCTGGGATGTGCAGCCCCAGCACTGAGATGTGCTGGATTCCACAGCCCCAGCACTGGGACATACTGGGTGCACAGCTCCTGCACTGGGACGTGCTGGGACCCATGGCCCTAGCACTGGGATGTGCTGGATTCCACAGTTCCGGCACTGGGATGTGCTGGGACCCATGGCCCTAGCACTGGGATGTGCTGGATTCCACAGTTCCGGCACTGGGATGTGCTGGGATCCATGGCCTTTATATTGGAGCTTGCTGGGGCCCTAGTCGCTGGCACTGGGGCATGCTGGGATGCTCGTGCTCAGCCCTGGGACACACTGAGACCCACGACCTGGTGGTTGGGACACACTGGGACCTGCGCACTCAGTGCTGGGACCTGCTGTGCCCCCAGCACTGGGACCACCAGCCCTCGCTGGCCCCCCCCGGGGGCTCCGGAGCTGCCGCTTCAAGGGGCCGGTCCCCTTTCATGTGCGGGTTGGGCTGTTTGCAGAGCGCAGCCCCCTCCCGACCACCCCTGCCCCCTGATAAACCCGGGGACAGGGATTCTGTGTCCTGGGCTGTTTGGAGAATCTCACGGCTGTTTATTGGGGTCTGGGACACATTAGCCACGCTGAGAACAAACCTCTCCCACCCACCCCGGTCCCTGCCTGGGACCAGCTCTCACAGCTGCGCCGTGCTGTCAGCTCCATAAATCAAACCCGGGGGGAGGGAGCCCGGGGCAGGCTCGCCTCGGCCGAGCAGGGGGCCGAAAGGTGCCGGTGGGCTCCCGCCTTTGCCCCCTCCCCGGGGCAGGCTGGGGAGGCTCCTGAGGGACCCCCAGGGTGTTCCCCCTGCTCCCTGCTAGCTCCAGCATCCCGGGGAGATGGGGCAGGTCCAGCCCCACAGCCCTCGGGGGGCTGCCCCCGGAGCCCCCGGTCACCCCATCCGCAGCTGCCTCTGCTCCATGGGATGTGCCAGCCCCTTGGAGCCGCAGGCCCCGGCACGGCACCTTTCCCAGGCTCGGCGGTCCCTGCTCCCCAGCCCAGCCTGCCCCCCCTCCCGAGCAGGGTCCCATGGGGGGCCCAGCCTGGGAACCCCCCGCGTCTCCACCTGACCCCACGCAGGTGCCGCTGCCTGCAGCCCCGCCGTGCACGGCCCTGGGCGGCCGGCGTGGTGGCGGTGGCAGTAGCAGCAGTGGTGGCAGTCACGGCGTTGGGGACAGTCATGGTGCTGGTGGCAGTCCTGGTATTGGCGGTTTTACTGTCGCGGTGGTGGCAGTTGCGGGGGTGGCGGCAGTCACGGCAGTCATGATGTACCAGGCGGAGGGGAAAGCACAAAAGCAGTGACACCAACCCCGACCCACTGCCTGGGCACTCATGGCTGCGGCACGGGGCTGGCAGTGCCGTCCCCATCCCACGGCATGGCACAGTGCAGACCGCGTTGGGGCTTCTGTAGCCCTTGCAGGGCCAAAGCTGGGGACGGCAGGGCCTGGGGACGCAGGGACAGCATGTGCCCGGGGGTCTCGGCCCACGTGGATCCCACTGGGGCCCACCAGTGCATCCATAGGGAGAACCGGGATGGTCGCACTGGCTCCAGCGGCACAGAGCAGCGGCAGGCGCAGGGCCAGGGGGCTGGGGCCATCTTGGGGACCCCATGCGCCCCCCACCTTGCCCCATGCCGGGGTGGCAGGCAGGCACCAGCCCATCAGAAAAATAAGGTTTATTTTCCAAGCGGCTGCACGTGCACAACCAGCGCCCACGGGGCTGCGACGCCGTCCCCCCCCCGGAGCGCCTCAACGC